ACATCATTAGTTTTTGATGTAGTGTTCCATGATTCATTGTTTGCATATAACACCCAGTGCTCCATGCAGAACGTGCCCTCTTTAATACCCATCACCGGGCTAACCCATCCCCCCACCCCCCTCCCCTCTAGAACCCTCAGTTTGTTTTTCAGAGTTTCAGGCCCCACTTCTAATCCTAGTTCTCCTGCTATTTCCACCACATCTGCAGTGATTTCCCCCACTGAAGTCTTGAACCCCCAAAGTTCTCCACGAGGGCTGGAATCAACTTCTTCCAAACTCCTGTTCATGTTGATATTCTGACCTCTTCCCATGAATCACAAATGTTCTTAATGGCATCTAGAACAGGAATCCTTCCCAGAAGGTTTCATTTCGTTTTGCCCAGATCCATCAGAGAAATCACTATCCATGGCAGCTGTACCTTATGAAATGGATTTCTTAAATAATAAGACTGGAAAGTTGAAATGACCCATGGGCTGTGAGAATGGATTTTGCGATGGCAGGTATGAAAACATTCTTCTCATTGTCCATCTCCACCAGAGCCCTTGGGGGACCAGGGCACTTTCAGTGAGCAGTCACATTTTGAAAGGAATCTTTTTTTCTGAGCAGTAGGTCTCAGCAATGGGCTTACTACATTCAGTCAGCCATGTTGTAAACAGATGGATTGCCATCCAGGCTTTGTTGTTCCATTGATAGAGCATAGGCAGAGTAGAGTTAGTAGGCATAATTGCTCAGGGCCCTAGGATTTTCAGAATGGTCAGTGAGCATTGGCTGCCAATGAAATTCACCATTCGCCTCTGACAAGAATCAGCCTGTCCTTTGAAGCTTTGAAGCTGGGCACTGACTTTTCCTCTCCAGCTATGAAAGTCCTGGATGGCATCTCCTTCGTCTGCAAGACTTTACTACATTGAAAGCCTATTGTGGAGACGCCTTCATGGATGATCTTAGCTGGAATTTCTGGAGAACTTGCTGCAGCTTCTATGACAGCACTTGTAACCTCACCTGGCACTTTTATGTTACTGAGACGTCTTCTCTCCTTAAACCTCACGAACCCACCTCTGCTAGCTTCCTCACCTCTCAGCCTTCACAGAATTGAAGAGAGTTAGGATCTTGCTCTGGAGGAGGCTTTGGTTTAAGGGAATGTTGGGGCTGGTTTGGCCTTCTGTCCAGACCACTCAAACTTTCTCCACATCAGCAGTAAGACTATTTCACTTTCTTACCATTTGTGTGTTCACTGGAGTAGCACTAGTGATTTCCTTCAAGAACTTTTCTTTGCATTTGCCATTTGGCTGTTTGGTGCAAGAGGGAGGCCTAGCTTTTGGCCTATCTCAGCTTTTGACATGC